AACGTTATTCAATTGATATATATTGCTTCAAAGAGTTCTTTCCTGTTTATTTGTTAGATTTTAATTCAGTTGCAGCTGCTGGCGGTGTTGGTGCGTTTTACCATTCGCTTTAATGGCAGTGAAACGGCATTAAAATTGCTGCCGCAATCTACTAAGCAAATTCAAGTGGATGTTTTATTGCGGCAACTCATTTAAACATTTAAATGCAATTTCGTGTGCAATTTGTTGCAATTGCAGTTGCTGAAAGATCGCATTTTTCTTGAAAACAATGTGTCCCACACACCAACGCCAACACTAACACTATCCCAAACTGCAAACTCATTCAGCATATAGCACACACGAAGAACTTCCGTTTCCGGCATTCTTTGCTAGCTTGCACACATTCACATTAGAGTCCTTGAATGAATTCCTGAATGTGTGTATTTCTCAAAATGTGTTCGTGCCGATTTGTGGGTTTGCCCACAAGCTGGGCATGTTCACATATATAAACTTTTAATTTAAGGATGCCATGGTCGAACTACAAAAGCGAACTGTCCAGCAACGACTGCCAGTTTTAGGCTTTCCTGTAAAAAGTATTTGGGCAGCCTTCGTTAAACTCACACACAAATTCCAAAAATGCTAAGTGAAAATGTGAAGAGAATAAAGTAAATCTTCCAAAGTCGCCAAACTTTTTTTATATATATTTCGACAGTTGAATCGAGCATGGAAGTGGTCGTGTGGAGTTGTAAATCCAACCTATAGCCTTGCAAATGGAATTTTAGTTTTAGCTCCCTTTACTATCTTTTCATGGAGAATTGCATTAGCAACAGAAAAGTAAACTAATACTTCAATAAGTTTTTCTTTTTCTTCCTTTCAAGTATGTGAAGAAGAGTGTTGGAAAAACCTTTCAAGTTTGGATAAAATTCGTTTAGCACAACCGAAATACATGTCTCTCTCGCATTCATTTAAAAATTATTTTCGTTCAACTTCTACAAATTAATTTAATTTTATCATATCTCTTTAAGTAAATATGTACTAAAAGTAGAAGACTTTTATTCAAGTTTTGTTCAAAATTAGATTGTCTAAAAACAATTTATGGCTTGGAATAGCTTTCGAAGTAGAAAGAATTCTGTAAAGGAAAATTTGAAAGTCTTTAACAAAATAATTATTATGTTCCAAAATTATGAATTCAACTTTTGCTTAATCGATTTTCTAATCCTGCCATTGCAGTAGCATGGATTTTTGGTTTTTTGCTCTTCTTATATATTGGTAGCAACTTCTTGGTACGCTAAATGGTCAGGAACTAAAAATAACTCTGCCCAGGTACCACCATTACAAAACCATTTCATGCCACTATGCTAGTCCAGCATTTTCAGATCGAGATTTTCTAATTTTCTAATAAGTGGAAGTTTATTAACGATTTTAGAATAAACCTCAATTGCCTTAATATTATTATACCTTAATAATATCTCTTTGTTCAGAAAAATTTTTCAAATAATTTCATTATACGAACTGTTAGCTGTCGCATCGTAAATCAGTTAGATGGGAGATCTGTTAAAAATATTTTTAATAGACAGATGGACAGAAGGGCAGAACAGATAGCAACTTGTAATGCAATTGATTACATTACAATCAAATTTGCAATACGATTATATGCAACTGCTTAACGGAATTGATACTATAGTATTGTGACAACTAACCAAAGATAATTCTTAAAAGCGTCCGTAAACTAACATTAAGGGCCTGCAAAGGTTCCTAAATCACACGGATAAACTTAATACTTTTTTCAAATCTAACTAAAAGTGTAGAAAACTGAAATTAGTGCATTTCAATTTGGAATTATAATCCACCCTATTTATCGAAATATATTTAAATTATTTTTTTTAATTAAAAAAATAGTTTACTGGTTTTTAATTTGGGATTATAAGCTTAATATTTGAATTATTCAGTAAAAATTTTTAGAATAATTCGAATTCTAAAAACGAAACTTGGATTGTTTTGAAAAAATTCAATAATTCTGTATATTCGAACAGAGCATTTTCGTCATAACATTAATGTATACATCAAATACGATTCATTTAGAGTTTATTTTAATACTTTTGAAATTATTAAGATGATTATTATTACACACAAACCAAAAAAAGTTTACCAAACAAAAGATACACCGAAAACTTTAATGACTAAAATTCCAATCCCAAATTCCAATCCAACCACAGCTTCATAAATAACAAAGCAACTAGAAACGGAGAACTGCAACTACTCAGTCATCCCAGCGATATTGGCAATTTCACCTTTCATAAAAGTAAACTGAAATAATTTAACAAACTTCGGAAAAATATTGTGAATTGAATGAAGAAACGACAAAATTTGAGTGTTTCCCAAACATTTGTTAAGAAACTGACTTTGAAATATGATTCGATTGAACTATTTTAAAGTGCAACATACCATATTTGGTAACGAATATCATTCGCAAAGTTTAATCCTTCCGAAATCCAAATTGACAGAGTATGGAAATCTATCAATTGTCATCTAACATTTTTTATACTTACGACTAATTATTTTTCATGTTTGATATATATTTTTTTAAAGATTTCTCTAAGTCGCTTATTTATCGAAATATAGTTAACATCCATTGCTATTATCACTACTTCAAATGCTTTATTTCAAAAATGGAGAAAATAATTGGGAGACGAAGCTCCAATCAGGCTGATATATTGTTTCAATCAATTATGTGGGTATAAATACATTTGGGTTAAATTGCAGTTCGTTTGCTACTTGCGACTTAAATTGCTGCAATAAAAATTCCAGAGATTTTACAATTGTCGCACTCGATTTTATTTACTTTTCAGATATGCGCGAGCGTATTTGCGAGCGTATTTGGAAGCAGAAACTTCAGACGAAATAAATTGCTGTTTTCTGCGAAAATGTCTTTATTGTGTGTAGAATGCAATAAAAATCATTTGTGACAATAGAGCAATATAAGCTCGATTAGAAACGAGTGCGGGGGAAAACGGAAACAGAAGCAGCGCGTTTCTTAGAAGAAGAATGAAGAAGACGAATGCAACTTTATCTTCGTGTAGTGAGGTGCCAAGTTACTATTGCACAGCTTTCAATGTAACTAATTCGGAGAAGTTACTAAGGTTCGAAACACATAATACTGGAAGACTATACTATAAAACTTTGAATAATTTGATCTATTGGCCAAAATTACTCAATTGAAATGTATACAATCCAATTCGTTTTATTATTGAATATATTATATTCTCATTTTTTTAAATTAATTATTCCATTTTCTTTATATATTTGCTATATATTTTTCTGTTAGTTTCACATTTCACAAAAATGCTAAAGCTTAGATACATTTTCACCTAAAAACTGAACGTAACAGTACGCGTTGACAATAAACTTAAGTGATGTTTCAGTGAAGGCGGTTACCTGCGTTTACATTTTTCTAAAATTCAGCAAAATTTGTGCAAGTAAGGACGAAATTTTTAGTTCTTCGCATTTCCAGTCTCTACATAAAGAAATTGGCGCACGTCTTTCAGTGGAGCCAAGTACAGCTTTGTGCACGTTGCACGTTGCATGCACATAACCTTAAGGAATTTCCTGTTAGGAAATGACTGCACACGCGTTCCATCACAATATCCTGCAAGGACTTCCGTTGCAGGTACTTGGCAGTCTCAACACTGGTGTAAACTTTCCCAGCCTGCCCTACCCATACTTAGGCCGTCCACTTCATTCATTTGAATACTTTTTTAAATTCAATTTTAATAATTATTATTTCCATAGGTGAACGTAACAAATTCTTGAAAATTAAATTTAAATTATTGCGAAAATAAATTTCCATAAATTGTTATTTTTATTTTCAAACCCAAATTATGCCTTAGCATTCACATTCAACATAGAGACGTTCATTACGATATAAACTTTATTAGAGAAAATAGTTTCGAAAGTGTTCGAAATATGAGGAGTGCAGGACATAAAGAACTATTTTTATGTGAACCTCTCTATTTAACTATCCTATACATAGGCAATATACAGTTCGAAGTTGGAATACTTGACTAACATTTTAGGATGCACATTCAGCCAATTCAACTAATTCAGGGATAATTGAATGTGCTGCAGTAAGGCGGCAACTTGTTGCCTAATTTTACAACTAAAATATTAAATAAATTTATAACTGACGTCACTGCAATAAAAAAACAAGAACATTGCAATAAACAGCTGTACAGGCAACAGCGCAAGAATGTTGAATTCCATTTGATGGGAGGAAGGTGCACTTTACTGGTATATATTTTGGTGTTTCGTAGCATTAAATGCTTACAACAAATGCTGCTGTTGGTGCTACATAAAATTTAATGGCAAGTTTTAAAGTCCATTTAGACTACATTAAACTGCAGAAGTGCATACAATCACGCAGAGTTTATGTTACCCCACATGCACAAAGACTAATGTGCATGGAAGTGTATATCCGCACGTCCGGGAAGGCATTTGCAGTTGGTCGTTGACTGAAGTCACATGCAAATTACAATCTTCAAAATGGCAGAGTGCGTTGTACTTGTGCCAGTGCCAGTGCCAGTGTCTGAACTGTTGCCAGTGACTGGGACTTCCACATCCACATCCACTTCGACTTCGACTGCAACTGCGACTGGAATGTGCCATGTTATTGTGTCCCGGGGACACAAAAAAAGCGCAGTACAAACACTCACACTAAATGGAATCTGACTGCAATTTGCAATTGCTGCGTTGAGTAATGGTGACTTAAAGTGTTGCTGTACTTATATTGAATACATGCAAGGATTTATAGCAAAACTGTTGTAAAAGCTTTGTCATACCACTAGTTTTGTTCTTTCAAGACTTTAATATTTATGTATAATATATGTGAAATGTATTTCACACTTTTCTTTTTACAAATGAACCCTTTGAATGATACTCGTATACATTTATGTACAAGCTTCTATGTATTGAAGCAGTTTTGCATAAAATATGGTATATTAAATTTCAAACTTAGTGTCACTTACCAACAGGACTCTCTTCATTCCAAAATGAATCGTCCAAGGTGTAATCCGCCTCTGCAAGAAAGAAATTATTACTTTTAAATAATTATTCTCAAAATTAAATACTTCGTTTCACATGCAATAAAAACAGGAATAAGCGGTCCTTATTTAAGACAAGGTATATGCAAGTGCAATTTTAGTCGAATTGCATTTTGGACTCATTAAAATTCCATTAAAACAAAATAGAAAATGTTCAAAATTAAAATTCAAGAATTTATGTTTTCGGCTAATTAACGTTAAAGTAATCGCAATCCCCGAAATGCAGCAGAACAGCCAAGGCAGAAAAGCACAACATCGAAAACAATTTGAAGTGCATTATGTGCTTAATTCTCTTTCGCAGCGTAGCAGTTTGGTCGTTCTAACAAAAAGGATAAATGGTATTTCGGCAACTAAATTAGTGAAAAATGGGATTTTTATTTTTCGGTTAATCATTTATGCACGCCACTATCCTTTGGAGTTTGCACAAGTCCTTACCGACCTATTAATATGAAAACTATATTTTTTTGGATGATTTGAATTCATACAACTTTCATTCATTATGTTGTATGGTTATGACTTTGTGTTGTTATTGGAAGAAATTTGCATCACAGGACGTTGAGCTGGTTGTTGCCAACTGTACTTTTAAAACTGTTAAGAACTTTATATGACTAAGCACCATACACAATATCAACGATGTCAGTCTGAAGACATCGAAAAGTTACCATTGCGAATAGATGATACTGTGGACTCAGTAGGCAATTGTAATTACGGAGTTGCTCTTACAAGCAGTAGCAACAACCACCGCATCTGAATAAGTCATTCGAACATCGATATTGTGCGTCGAATTAACATCTATCGTCTATACATCTAAAACCTGACCGTATTATGAGGATGGGCGATGATACTTCAGCTAATAGGCACTTTGATATGGTTGATAGGCACTTTGATAAGGTTGATCGAGCATAAACCGCCCTCAATGTATAAGACGGAGAAAAGTATGCACATACTAAGGAACTGCTTGTAATGGCGAATCAAGTAAATTAGTAATTACATTATATAATATAATTATGTTTTAATCCAAAAATTTAAAATGATCATCATTTAAGACTCAAAGTTAAATATCACACTGTATTGAATTGTATATCTAATTTTAATTCATATCAATTATGTAGCAAACTTTTTCGATTCATACATGCAAGCAATCAGTGTTCAATTTAGTTCTTATATGTACACCTACGTAAGAAGGGGAAAAATGAAATAAATTCATTAAAAATATAAAAAAATAAATACACGTAGAAAGAAAATAATATGATTTCATTTCACATACAGTTTTTGTATAGAATATGGTTTTTAAATTTGCTGCTTAAGGGAGTTGTGATATTCTGTTTAAGTAACTTAATTGGCATAATGGTTGAAGGTGGTTAGTGACACGTCAGACAGTTAGAGTTTCATCAGTGTAATAAATTACATTCTACATAAAAACGAAGAATTCCGCATGTATTTAGCAAGAGTTCTGTTTTCTGTAGAAACGAATAACCTTTATTTCAGTCTGGAATTGTTATGCGGAAAATGAGATCAAATCGCTACTTCAAAATCATTTGATACGAACACATATCAAATATAAGCAAGAAAAACTATAATTACAAGCACTCGAAATTCGGTTCCCCCTTTCGGTTTATTTTTGGCAACTCAAATGTTGGTTTTAAAGTTTTATTTCATTCTATTCTCATCGAAGTAGAAACGAATTTTATTCGCAAATTTAGGAAATCAAACTCACCCATCCAAGACTCTAAACAGTGCAAGAAGATGAAAACAATTAAAACGTCGTTCAGATACTCGAAAATGATGCTGCAATTTTAATCGCATTTTCTGGATTTCCGAGAAGTGAAGTTAAGTGTGGAAAATTAGGTTGGAATTTAATTAAAAGCAGAGAAAACAAGCTAAGTTAGTCTGTGTCGAATACTAAGTTTTAAGAATTCATTAATACGAAGTTCGCACATAAGAGACTCTCAAAGAGTCATATGAATGTTTTCAAATTGAATGATTTGTTAAGAAATGGAAAATATATACAGTAAGATAGAAACAAAATATATTTATTATTATGCTCCTTTATTCGAGTAATATATAATAAGTGGCAGAGATACATAAATTTACTGACAAATTTTGAGTTTTGAGTTTTGAGGTTTTAGTATTTAGTTTGGATTGACAACAATTAACCAAGTGTGAAACTAGAAAAACTTAAATTTAGTATGTTACCACCCAAATCAAAGAAAGATTTGATAGACGTCTCGTTAAAAGATGTTATATAACACAAAAATTAGGTACTATATATGCTGCCAGTCAATTTGAGATTCATTACCCAAATTAAAAGAATACTTAATCAAAATGTTTATAGTAGATTTAGTCGAAAAAATCAAGAATATGGTGGCTCAGACTGACTGAGATTCAAAATGGTCGTGACTGGAAAAACTAAAGAGGATATATCGTGTAGATCTATGATTTTAAGTTTTCGTGAGTATTCGTAATTCAATATGACAAAGAGGATCAAATTGGTTAGTTTTACATTCGTGTAATAAATTCCAAAGCGGGTTTGGCATGTTCAACTCAACTGAGTTTATAAATATATACTCTATAAGAAATTAAATTACTCTTTGACCAGACTAAAATTAGTTCGCAACGAATCACCAACTAGCCCGTCATGTAAATCTTATATGAAAGTAAGTGGTTAAGCAATATATCTGAATGATTTCAAATTGATGCCTTAATACTTTTTTTTCTGTTATTTTAAACAATATTATATGCAAATATTTATTTTATCATTGCAAAAAAAATATTAAATATCTCATCACTTTATCTTGCGGGGTTTGGAGATTAACAATGGTGTCAATGAATTTATTAAAAATTCTCCATATTACTCGTTATACTTGCCTCGCTAAGGATTATTTGTTCTGAATAAATTCTGGACTGAATGAGGTGTGATTAACGTAACGGAAGTATTTAGAAAATCCCTTTACCTTTGAAATTATTTAAATATTCATGATAAATTCATTTCGCTTACACTTATTTCTTAATCAGCGTAAAAATGTAATTTTCTCTAAGGCTAGTGTGGGTATCGCGTACTTTCAGAAGTTTTAGCAGCTTAGCATAGCAATCGGAGCTATCGGAGCAATCCACCGTCAAGTATATGCTATATACACTGATTGGGGCTTAGGGAGCGAGGTATGCGATGCTCCACAAAGTACCACAAAGTGAACTTTAATCAGCGTAAATTCTAATTTGAATTTTTTACTCATTCGACTGTTACGAAACTGCCAAAAATATAAAGAAAGTAAACAGAAAAAGAGAAAATAATGAAAGCGAAGAAAACCAAATTGAAATGACTACGACAACGACAACGACAACGACATCGACAACTTAAAGTTGAAGTGAACATGTCTTGCTTTATCTATACACTGTACAGCTAATGGCATGGGTTAGAGGATAGAGGATAGAGCATAGAGTACGGAATACAGAACACGAGCAGTGGCAATGGAAATACTTTTACCATTTTATAACACTTTTATATTTTAATTTGGGTTGGTGTTAGTGCTAACGTGGATTTCAGTGAATAAGCGGTGTATGTGTGTGTGTGTTGGTGCAAGTGTGAGTGTGAATGCATTTGGGCTCCTATTTGTACTGGCAACCTCATTTAACAGGGTTTTCCGTACGTACTCGTAAATCAACGATGCAAATATCTCGAAAGAACTTCGTTGGAATCGCTATTTCTCGAAAGTAGTCGGTGTCTCATTAACCAAGAGTTGAGTGCAGCGAACTGTGAAGTCAATTCGGATGTGCACATATTTTATTGTATGTAGAACGAATTGCACTTTTACAGCCAAATTAAAAATAAATGTAATTAAAATATTGTACTTTACATCGACATGAAAAGAGGATTCAATAAGAAAATGTAGATTTTATTCAAAGGAAGAAACATTTTTTTTTTGAAGTTAGTGGCAAAGGTTGCCCACAACGTTTAATCTTTTCAAACAAGTCATTTAAGAAAGAGACGCTCTGCTGAGATTAACGATACAAACGACAAGAAATGAATTAGATAATGCAAAAGTTCTTAAAGTCTTAAAATAAAAGAAGCAAAATAATAGAATTTGAAATAAAAATAAAATCTTAAAGATAACAAAAACTTAAGCAGCTCAAAATTTGCATAATTTTTAATAATTATTGAGCAAAATACTGAAAACAGAGCAACGAAACTGTCAACGACTGTTTTATAAACATATTTGCAGGGAAACACGTTGCGGGGGACTTGAGTGTTGTCTTCACCTTACCGAAGTCTTTGCTTTAATTTCATTGCCCTCGCTAAGCAGCGTTTTTATGACTCTGCGTGCTTACAATCCTTTTTACGTTTTTTGTCTATCAAATTCGGAGAACTGACAGCTTGGTCGTTTGTATTGTAAACAAGACACCGGAAACTAACCACGAAGGATGGCAATTGCAGAACTGGTTCAGTACAGCTTCTGGCTGAATCGTTTAAAACAGCGGCGGAGGAGTCCAAGGGTTTAATGGCTTTTATAAGCAGAAACACTTAAGAAAAATAGTTTTTGACATGCTTCGTTAAGGTTTTATAAGATTAAGTGTGAGTAGGATGGAATCCTTTTTGGCTTTCAGATTGCTGTTTCAGCCACGCCTTTCTCTATTTGTTAATGGCTTTAAATTTTGCATATAAAAGTGTAAAGTGCAAAAAGAAGTACTAAATTTAAGCAAGTTTATTTTGAAATTATGATGATCACGCTATAATGGAGATAAACTGTGAGTGTAGCATCAGCAGTCAAGTGAATCTCCGTTAGCTCTTTTGGTAATTTTGAGAGAGGGTATTAGAAATTAACATAAAATGCAAATATTTCCGGTATTAAGATATGAAATACGACTCCAGTTGTGCCGAATATAAAACCAACTGTGAAGCTGGATTCCGCCAGCACAAGATAACATTACAGAAATCACACAACGCTTTTAAATATTTACAAAGCGGTGAAAAACACTCA